AATGATATACCTCTACTGTGTAGCCAAGGCTGTCCGGGCCATAATGTTTCACCTACAGAGTGCTAGTATTATATAGATATGAGCCAGCATATCAGAATTATTACAGATTTTTCTTTGCTGATACTTCAAAATAAGCAGTTAACACAGCTTGGCTTATTTTTGTACAAATTTGCGCTCATTTTTCACAATTCATAATTAAGGTAAACATCAATTAAAATGAATAAGCAATATTACAGACATTAGAAAGTTCCCTAATCAGTTCAAATGAAGTAAAAATTTGGTAAACTAAACTTAATTTGTATTATTTTGTTTGTTTGAGACAGGGTCTCACTATATAACCCTGGCTGGCTTAGAACTCTATGTAGAGCAGGCTGACCTTGAACTTCAAGAGATCTGCCTGCCTCTGCCTGAGTGCTGGGGTTAAATTTAAAGGCCATACTCAGTAGTTAGGAACACTGGTTGTTCTTGCAGAAGACCTGGATTCAAATCCCAGCACCCACATGGCAGCTAATAACTGTCTGTAACTCCAGTCCCAGGGGATCCAACAGTCTCTTCTGACCTCCACAGGCATTGCATGACACAGGTACACTTACCTACATGCAGGCAATACACGCATACACATAATAAATAAAAACTGTAAGTAATCAACAGCATTAGCTACTTGGGTTGAACTGAGTTTCAATTCATATCATAAATTGAATTTTTTTTTTTTTTGTCTTTTTGAGACAGGGTCTCTTTGTAGTCCCAGCTGTCCTGGAACTCACTATCTAGACCAGGCTGGCCTCATACTCACAAAGATCTGCCTGCCTCTGCCTCCCAAGTGCTGGGATTAAAGGCATGCGCCACCATGCCCGGTTAACTTGTATTTTTATTCCAATGTACTTGATAAAAGATGTTTCCTTTGAGAAATAGGTGATTATCTTTACTATCTTAAAAATATGAGAATTGAGTCCAAAAATTGTTCAACTAAGAATTTTTTAAATATAAAATGTAAATTTTTTTTTAGAAAATAAAAAATTGGGCTGGAGAGATGGCTCAGAGGTTAAGAACACTGGCTATTCTTGCAGAGACCCAGGTTTGAATCCCAGCACCCACACGGCAGCTAACAACTGTCTGTAACTCCAGTCCCAAGGGATCTGACAGCCTCTTCTGACTTCTGTAGGCACTGCATGACACGGGTGCACTTCACTCACCTACACGCGGGCAATACACGCATACACATATAAAATAAAATAAAATAAAATAAAATAAAATAAAATAAAATAAAATAGAATGAGGGGCAGGAGAGATGGCTCAGAGGTCAAGAACACTGGCTGTTCTTGCAGAAGACCCGCGTTCGAACCCCAGCACCCACATGGCAGCTAACAACTGTCTGTAACTCCAGT